AGAATGCTTTTAATTTTACTTTTTAGTTTGATGCCGTGGGAACCAGTGAATGGTTACACCAAGGTAATAAGACATTTAGGACAATTTAGATCAGGGATTTTGGGGTTGTAAACCTTACTGACATATTCAAAAATACTTTTGTTGATGAGTGCTAGAGGGAAGACATTTTTAATCAAAAATGTTTTTTTTGTTAATAAGTTCATCATGAAAATTACAATACGAGTTAGTAAATTTATATGCTCTATGAATTAGAATGCTTATTAAATAAGAAAAAAGGAAGCACTCATAATTAGTAACCTAAAACTTAAGCTGAACTATCAACTAGCTACGTCACTGCATCTCAAACTATGATCAACACATCGTGCCAGAGATGGGCAAAAAGTACAAAACATCTTCCAACAAACAAGTGTCAATATCTACTGAAATGAAAAAAACACTTTTGATGGGAAAACCCAAAAATAATGAGAGAAGAGTTGGAGGTGACAACAACCTAACAAAACTCTCTTGTCAATGTTTGTTTGTTTTTGCTCTCGTATTTACTCACTCATTACAAGCATTTTTTCATTTTAAACAAATTATTGAAAACATGTAAAGAAAATGATTTTGCTGTTATCACTTGTAAAAATTATATTAATGATCTGAGTAGTTTCCTCCCTCCTCCTTAAAAATAGCAGCACCCCCTAAAGTTTTGAAAACACTGACTTACTAACATACTACTCATATCTAGTGCAGTTGAAATTAAATAACAAAGATTGCCTTAAAAAAATCGAAAAACGACACATGAGGAACTTTGGGTCCAAGTTCGTTCTCCTGATCACGGAAGAAGAAAAAATTAGTAAGGGCTGCATCAATAAGATCAGGATATTTTCTTCCCAGCTTTACTAGATCCAAACGTTCTTGACGACTATCTCGCCCACGCCAAAAACCCTTTTCAACCTTGTTTTCCCATTTGGGTCCTGAGTTCCCCATTACACTGAATATATCAAGAGTGACCCTATAAAACAAAACCATAATTTTTGTGCATTGCCATTATAAACAGCTTCTAAACAAGTACACTTACTAACACTTACTCATACCAAAATAAACCAACAGTAAATAATAACTATATCAAAAGTTGAATTTTTTTTAATACTTGTACTTTTATCAGCTGTTTCACTTCAGGAAAATGAAACTGTCTTGGAATTACAAAGAGTATAATATGATAAATAGCATACATCACAGCATGAATAGAAAAGGTTTAATTATGTCACAAGACCACAATGTTGCTACTCCTTAAAACCCCTGTTCCAAAACAACAAAAGACCTAAATAAACTAACTTTTCTGCAGAGCTTTATCAGCGAAATAACTCATGTCTTACAATTTAAATCTCATCAGAAAATAAGATTAGTTCTCAAAACATTACAAAACTTTTTCATAACCACCTTAGAACATCAAATGATGAAGTTTTAGATACAATCAGAATGGACACCTATTAATATCACTTGAGATGTTATTTAAACTCTCACCAAGAAGTTATACTTCAGGATAAAAACAACTGGTGAAATTTGTATCAACACTTTCACTGCCATAAGCACTTACATGTGCACTGCCATGGGAATTTGGTATTTTGTCACCGTAAACAAAAGTTATTCCCTTCAAACTTCCCAAAATGAACCAGTTTTAAGTTTTAGATGAGTAACAAAATATAACAACATTACTTATAGAAAGGTTGTGATGACTGATTATCCCGAAGAAGAATAGTCAATTATTCAAAAGCACTCGAGTTTTGGGTCTTTTTTAGTTTCTTACACTTTATATGTGATCCTTTGTGCTAACTCTTTTATCAAGATTGATTGGTTATCAATCATTTTCATGGTTAATAGCCTACACAATCATCGAAATCTAATTATTAATTATTTATTTATCTTTTTATTACAACTAGATGCTAATTGCTAATTAAGTTTTATCTTCCAGCTGTTAAACTGCTGCTGTCTTCAGGGAAGTCCTGAAAAGGACTACTTTAATGATGGTAGTGACTAACAATTGTCCATAGCTCTTCTTGACAGAAAGTATACTGTATTATCCACTGGACCAGAGTCTCCCTCATTAGAAATTTAAACTATTTGTACATCTTCAAGACAGTTATCCAGTTTTTACTGACTTCTTTGCTAGATTGGCTGAATGTGTTATCAGTTAACTCGATGTAGGAAGATAGTTTCATCTTTCTTGTGTGTGGCTACTATCCTATTATTTTAGTATTATTCAATTTTAAATAATTGTCTTCACTGGTCTAAGTGACTACAACAGATAGATCAGTATTACTGAGTCTTGTATGTCTGTCATGCTAATGAATTCTAACTTTCGTTGGTTTTCTACGATGTATTGGAATCCAAGTTTACAGACGATGTTGTATGTATTGTCTTCCTCTTTGTTGGATCATTAGGTGGTTTAGTGTATGCTAGTTGTGATCGTACTGTCTTGTGGCTTCTAAATTAAGTTCTAACTTAATCCTGTTTACATATCTTTTGTATGTTTTCAAAAACCTTTGACAGAGGGAAATAAGGCTATCTATAATTTTCTTCTTTCATATTCTTGATGTTCATCTTTATCTTTTTTTTATAAAGTGTTCTGGACATCGATCATTAAGGACAACTGTAATGATTTGTTCTTCCTCATTCTTCTTAGATTCTTCAGTATTATAAATCTTTGTCTTTCTGGAAAACAAAAAAGCTAAACCCCTGTCTTGGCATCATTGGGGTGGTGTGACTTATAGTCAAGGTAAAAACCTGTATCTATTGGCTTCCCGTAATTTCCTATGTTATAAATGTTATGTATTTTGGTAAACATGAACTGTAATGTGAGATACTGTCTGTTCACAAATTCTTGAATCTTGTGTTAATAAGCCCAACACGGGTAAGGTTGTTTATCTATAAACATGGCAGTGAGAAAGTTAATAATGTCTGAGAAAAAAAAAAACGTTACAACATAACTAGCTTACTAAGCTGAAAAGTTTCATATATAAAAACTTTCTACAGTTAAAAAAATTGCACAGTCTTCATTAAAAAAACACAATTCTCCAATACACAATAACTTTATTTTTATAGAAGTTAAAATAAATTACTTGTGCAAAAATTTGACTGAGCTGTATTCATAAAGCACAAATAAACAGTTACCTTCCCATCATCTCCAGTGTTGCTTCAGTTATATCGTAAGTGGGCATTACAATGTCTCGCGTGTCCTTTGAACCACACCAGGAGAAAAAAGGAATAGGACTGTCTTTCACAAGCCTCTTTTCTAAGGGCCAATCACCTAAGTTGACCAGCATTTCAAGATCTGGAAGCTGTACCTGGTGGGAAAAAAATATGGTTTCTAATATAGACTGAAAATATACATATATTTATGTGCTTAAACTACAAAAATGTTTTCAGATGTGTAGTTTTCTGAGCAATACAGCTCACATTTTTTCTTTTTTTTT